CAGCAGGAAAAGAGCGGGAAGGACATTGGCCACACTTGCGCAATGCCTTAAGCTCGGCTACGCTGAGGGCCTCCGTTTGCCACTCAGAGCCTTTCCCTGTAGCACTGCAGTCTTCTGCTTGCAAGTTTGCAGCCTTTCCCTTATGCACTGGGAGGATGCTGTGGCAATGTTTTCATCCTTGTCCTTCTGTCCTCCTGTTCTCCCAGCTCCACACTTGCAAAGCCCAAGCCCGCTATGCCAGTTTCCCATGGAAAGTGATGGACATTGATGAGATAAGCTCCCTTTCCCAACCCCTCACCTCCATTTTATAACTTTTACACAAGAGAAAAAACTAGTAAATAACACGGGAAACAGCAGTCCTTCAAACAGCAGACAGACATTTCCCAGGGACATGCAGACACAAAGCTTAACAACCAATTAATGTGCAACTCTTGCGTTAGCACGTTAGCGTGCTCCAACCAGTGCTAACAGCATCACAAGCAAGAACAACCAGCAGGGAGATTCCCAATGAAAACTATATTGTTATTATCAGAAAAGTACTGTGGCAGACTGCTTCCTGCACTAGAAGAGGATGCCCAGGGAAGAAGAGTCACCTGGGGAGACCCTCAAGATCATTTTCTTCTTTTCTGGACTTAGGAGAGTGTTTTTCCCTAAGGTTCCTCACCACTCCTCACTTCTTTTTCATTGTCATTGTAAGTAACTGTTACCATTAAAACTGCCATTTGCCAACATCTATGGACTGTCTCATAGAATCACAGAATCTATGGGTTGGAAGGGACCTTTTAAGGTAATCTAGCCCAACCCCCCTGCAGTGAGCAGGGACATCTTCAACCACATCAGGTAGCTCAGGGCCCCATGTAACCTGACCTTGAATGTTTCCAGCAATGGGGCATCTACCATCTCTTTGGGCAACCTGTGACAGTGCTTCACCATCCTCGTTGTCAAAAATTCTTTCCTTAGATCTTGTCTAAACCTACTCTCTTTTAATTTAAAACCATTGTTCCTTGTCCTGTCGCAACAGGCACTGACAAAAAGTCTGTCCCCATCTTTCTCATCAGCCCCCTCGAAGTACTGGAAGGCTGCAATAAGGCCTCCCGGGAGCCTTCTCTTCTCCAGGCTCAACCACCCCAACTCTCTCAGCCTGTCCTCACAGGAGAGGTGTTCCATCCCTCTGATCAACTTTGTGGTCTCCTCTGGACCCGCTCCAACAGGTCCATGTCTTCCCTGTGCTGAGGACTCCAGAGCTGGACGCAGGACTGCAGGTAGGGTCTCACCAGAGCGCAGCAGAGGGACAGAATCACCTCCCTCGACCTACTGGCCACACTGCTTTGGATGAAGCCCAGGAGACGGTTGGTCCTCTGGGCTGCAAGCGCACATTGCTGGCTCATGTCCAGCTTTTCATCCACTAGGACCCCAAAGTCCTTCTCAGCAGGGCTGCTCTCAATCCCTTCATCCCCCAGCCTGTACCGATAGAGGGAGTTGCCTCGACACAGGTGCAGGACGCTGCACCTGGTCTTCTTCAACCTCATGAGATTTACATGCGCCCATTCCTCAAGTTTGTCCAGGTCCCTCTGGATGGCATCCCATCCCCCAGGCATGCCAACTGCACCACTCAGCTTGGTGTCATCTGCAAACTTGCTGAGCATGCACTCAATCCCACTGTCTAGGTCATTGATGAAGATATTAAAGAGTATTGGTCCCAATACAGACCCTTGAGGGACACTGCTTGTCACCAATCTCCATCTGGACATTGAGACATTGCCAAGTTCAGCTCTAACCACGCCTTGGCCCTCCTCACCTCACCCCAACACAACAGCATCCCTGTTCTCATCCCAAGATACCTGTCCCTGCTTCCACTGCCTGTGCATTTCCTTTAGTTTGACCAGCAGGTCTCCACTCAGCCATGCTGGCCTCTTGCCTTCCTTTCCTGATTTCTTACACTTGGGGACTGAGAGCTCTTGCACTCTTTGGAAAGCGTCCTTAAAGACCTGCCAGCTCTTTTCTTCTCCCTTGTCCCCAAGGGCAGTTTCCCAGGGGGTCCTATTGACTAACTCCCTGAAGACCTGGAAGTTTGCTTTTATCATCATTTGTGCAACAGGTCACCTTGAAAATACTTCATATTGAAAGAAAGTACAGAAAATGGCATTAATTCTTGTGCAGGGGGGCAGCAGCAGTTTTATAAATCACATCATACTTGAGCATTTGTATTACTGCAATGACTTCAACTTAAAGAACACAAGGACTCAAAATCAGAAAACAATTTTCTGTACAGCTTCCTTCTGCAATAATGTATTTGTATTAATCAAAATGTTCTTAAACTTTACACCATCTCCTATAAAAACTAACGGTGATAATTAAGCATTGGTTCTATGCTAAATACAATATAAAAAAAAAAATCAATTGCTGCAAAGATGATAAAACTTCAAAAGCAGAAGCTATATTTTGAAGAATTCCAATAGCCACATGGGTATTCTTCTTTTGGCTCAACTTAAAAAATGAAAAACTAAAAACACTGTACACTTGTGGTTTGTAAGGTTCACAGGTTCATGTGATCCACACAGTGTCTAAACCAGAAAAAGATATACAGCAATTAAACAATATCCTTGGTTTTAAAATATATTAGCAATACATAGCAAACTGATGTTATTCTTAACAAATGAAATATCCTTTAATATAATTTATGGCTTATATAGTCCTTGACTGCAGGGATGTACTCATTCTTTCTTTTTAGTAAAGTCATATGGTTTCCACCACTGTGCAAACTGCAACACCTTCTTCCTCTGATCCTCAAAGTTCTGCCTGATTCCTTTTCTCCAGAGCCGCGGTTCCAAGTCCAGCATGCCACCAATAATTTCCTTTGCAAATAGAACAAAGGTAGATAATGATAAATGCAAAATTATCATATTACTTAACATCATTTTACCATAGAATATAGAAATATCTATTTTGAAATTATGACATTATTTATAACTGTTTGTCACTCAACTGCTAGTTATTAAAACTGGAAATTCTGAAAAATATACCAATTCAAAAATCAGAACTGTAGTTGTTAGATGGTTGCCTCAGCAAAATTCTTTTAAGTACAGCATAGTAATGCACTGCATAAATATCCTACCATTGCAAGACTGTTAATATATTAGTACATTAGTGACTAAAAAGAGACAAGTTCAGAAAAAAGAAAGCTGCCCACTTTGCTCTTAACTCTTCTTGAAATAAGTTATATTTCTCCTCAATTACTCTTAATGTTTTTGCAATATTGACTCTTTCAATAAATGATTGCTGTGACATAATAAAGAAAGGAAGATTTTATTGCAGCTCTTCCTGTATATACTATACTCTCTATACTACATGGAGTAATTTAACCACACATGTATTATACTAGGAGTTGTCTGTGAGTTTGTATGTGTATGCACCCTAATTTATACAAGCAGAAGCCAGTACGCCTATGACAACACTATGGTCACGAGAAACTTTTTTTTTCTTCCTTCTTCTTAAATAGATGCAAGTATTTTCCATCTATTAGCCTACCCGTCAAATATCTCGAATTCCTATTAATTCAAAAGAAACATGGATCTAGAATCATATTCTGAGTATCAGCCAGTGAAGAAATCCATTATTCCTTTATTCAACAAGCTACGTTATAATGACTTACCAAGAACAGCCAGCTAATAAATTGGGATAAGGTACATCAAAGTGACTGTTCTGGCAGCATCTGTTTTAATTACTTAAATTTTTCAAAACAGAGTATAATTGACAAATTGATCTTTTACATGACAGTACCTTTCCAAAGTAATGAGGGAACTTGTGTTGATCTTCAATGACATGAGCAAATCCTCCTTGAAGGCCGAAGTCCACAGAAAAGTACGGTAAACCTTTAGGAACCTATACACACAAAACCACATTTTTAGATGTTTAACAGACTGTAGGCACTCAGTTCACCTCCCCACAACTTAATGAATTTGCAAGTGGTTTTACGGTTGATAGTATCACATTTTATTTTAAATCACCTCTCAAACCAAGTATGTGTAGTATAAAATTGCAACAGAGAAACAGGAAAACAAACAGGCAAGGGGACAGAACAGCACACAACAACTAGATAAAGAGACACCGAAAAGATGATTGCTGGGTGGCAGAACCTCCAGAGGACACTACTGCAGCAGAAGGTAAAGAGATGGGGAGGGACCAGGCAGCAGCAGGCACACTGAGCAAATGCCTTCCTGACCCCACACCTCTGAATTACATGGGTTGAGTAGAAATTTTAAGACAACCACCAGCAAGTTGCATTTATTAAGATAAGGTGTAGTGTGATAACAGGAAATATTTACCCAGAGGAAACAGTGACACTCAGGGGAGTGTCACAGTGGAGAATACACTACCAGAAAGCCCCGCTACATGACTGGAAGTTATCACTAACTTGCTGAACCTGATATTTTAATAATTCAGTCAGCCTACAGAGGAGTGCTGGTTATCCTGCCACAAGGAAAGACCCTTCATTCTGACAGTGAGAAGGGCCTCAAAAGTGGATTCATTTATTGCTACATATTGCAAGTAATTTCTGCTGCTTCACTGCAACAAGTTATTTTCCACTCATTTAATTGTCAAGGATGTTCCTGTACAGATAAGATTTACAAAGCCTCAAATTCATAAGCATTTCTTCTGCTACAGTCCAAATAACTGTGCAATTTTCACAAGGTATGTTCCATATACTGCTTGAAAACTCACTCTAAAAATAATTAAGATTTAATATAGAGGGGCAATGTAGCACAGCAAGAAATATAAAGCACTTTAAATGAACTAAAAAAAAAAAAAAATCATTAAATAACGAAAAAAATGAGTCAGCAGGTGACCCTTCAAGGAAAATGTCAGCTTTATCTTATTTGTATCTAGCAATATATCAGGTCTGGCTGGGATGGAGTTCATTTTTTTCACTGCAGCTGGTATGGTGCTGTGTTACAGACTGGTGACTAAACCAGTGTTGATAACGCACCAGTGCTTTGGCTATTGCTGACCAGTGCTTGCTGCTGGGTCAGCTCTCCTGGCTGCGTCCTCTTCCAGCCCGTTGCCCAACCCCAGGTCCCTCGCTGTGGGGAGCAGCGCAAGAAGCAGAGAAGGCCTGATGCTGTGTGAGGGCTAGATGCTTAGGCTTTGCCTCTGGATACTACAGTCCCAGTTCCTGCACACAGTCCATCCACTAGATGATGTCTCAGCCACATCTGACCCTCATTCCAGACATCACCATCTCCTAATACAACTTTCCAAACCTCTGCTCAGTCTCTAAACTATACTCTCGTATCTTCCTGAAGGCTACAGGCATTTCTTTCACCCTAAAATAATGTTAAAATCACACAACTGTGTAACAATTTAAACTCAGATGCAGTTTATTAATTTAAGGAAATTCTGTGACTTAATCTGAAAACTGGCCTACCTTTAAATGGGTATATAATGCAATCACAAAAATGTATGGCTAAGAAGATTCTTAAAGAAATCAAATGTACTGGTGCTCTATTTGTGACAGATGTTGGCTTTCCCTGTTACGAAACACCAATGAGCAGAAGATATCCAAAACATACTTATTTTGTTTTCTGTTTACATCGACCTTCAGTTTAACGTATTCCCTAAGTCCTTGCTACAAATTAATTTAATTCCTTCTTGTCTGCACCCAAAAGTGCTAGCGAACAACTAAGTATTACCTTCTTTACAACAATCTCCTATATATAGAAAACTACCATTACAACCCTTTTCATTCAGTCTTTTCTTTCCTAGACTACACAACCCCTAAACCAGTTTCTTTTAGTTAAGTTTTCTAAGCTATGCTCTCCTACTCTGTAAGTGTCTTAAAATGCTGTGCCCAAAACCAGATCCAAATTTTCCAGGTGAAGCCTCACCACTTTGAAATAAGGTGACCCATAACTCCCATTACATTTATATGGCATTTTAGCTTATGTGGCAGAATAAAATTTTGTCTTTTTGCTACATTTAATACCACTGTTGGTTTAGTTCGAGAGTAATCACAATATACAAAACTTCTACTACACAGCCACCCAATCCCTTACTCTTCTGCATTTGATTTCTCCCTCTTTGCCATATCAGGCTCCATGTCTCATTACTAAAACTCACCTCCTCTGCAGCCCTGCCAAGGAGGACTTGGGGGTACTGGTGGATGAAAAGCTGGACATGAGCCAGCAATGCACACTCACAGCCCAGAGGGCCAACCGTGTGCTGGGCTGCATCCAAAGCAGCGTGGCCAGCAGATCGAGGGAGGTGATTCTGCCCCTCTGCTCTGCTATGGGGAGATCCCACCTGCTGCCCTGTGTCCAGCTCTGAAGCCCTCAGCACAGGGAAGGCATGGACCTGCTGGAGCAGGTCCAGAGGAGGCCACAAAATTGATCAGAGGGATGGAACACCTCTGCTATGAGGACAGGCTGAGAGAGTTGGGGTTGTTCAGCATGGAGAAGGGAAGGGTCCGGGGAGACCTTATTGCAGCCTTCCAGTACTTCAAGGGGACTGATAAGAAAGATGAGGATAGACTTTTTTGTCAGGGCCTGTTGCGGTAGGACCAGGGGTAATGGTTTTAGACTAAAAGAGGGTAGATTTAGACAAGATCTAAGGGAGGAATTTTTGACAACAAGGGTGGTGAAGCACTGTCACAGGTTGCCCAGAGAGGTGGTAGATGCCCCATTGCTGGAAACATTCCAGGCCAGGTTGGACGGGGCTCTGAGCAACCTGATCTGGTTGAAGATGTCCCTGCTCACTGCAGGGGGGTTGGACTAGATGACCTTAAAAGGTTCCTTCCAACCCAAACTATTCTATGATTCTGTGGTTCTCCTAAACTACGATTTTTTTAGCGCGTATTAAGTGCTATATTTACTAAAAGACACTTTCAGAAGTTAAGTATTGTTACTACACAGTTGTAAACTTCTTGTGGTAAACTCTATATACCATACATCTTTCACTTTAATATTAAAAAGCTGGAACAATCTTTGAACCTAACAGTTTCAGCATCATTCCTTTAAGATTTGTATATACAAAGATGTTTCTGTTTAGTATCCAGGAGATAGATATTCACTTATTTTAGAAAAAAAGACTAATAATACTATTTATATTTTTGCTTCATAAACTTAGCAACAGAAAATGCTGTTACAGGTCAATGAAAAAGATGCTTCATATTTTTTCCAGGAAAGTAATTTGCAAATCTTTGATGATGCACCTTAATTCTTAAAGTTAATCAAGGAAATTATGCTGGTACATGTCCTCAAAGTGCCAGCTTTGTTCTCAATCAATGCTTTCAGCTCACCAGTTGTTGAAATAAATAGGAATCTTTTCCCTAATGTCAGTTAAGCGTTCAGTCACTCTTAATTTTCATCATGCCTATGGCATCTCCTGATGCACTAATCTAATTGTGTTCCTTTTCTTCTTTCTTTCAAATGGTTAATAACAAAAAAAGATGAGATGAATTTGCTGAGAAATTCAGTGATTTCAATACATTTCATTACTTACAGATTTCCGAATATCTTTTGAAGAAAGATCAATTAACTTCTTGTTCACGGACCACTCTTCATCAGACTCCATTATAGCTTTCTGTAAAATTATTGTATCTAAATGTGAAAATAGTCCTTCATACAGCAAGCAAAGAACTAACTTTCCAATGTCATGAAGTCATTGCTCTGCAAGTACCAATTACTTCTTAACAAAGTAGCTTTGTTTTTGGCAATCTTTCTGATTTCCAGAACTTACATACTTTATAAAGGCACCATCTTCAAGCTCACTTAATTCTGTTCCTTTTTTTTTTTTAAACTTAACTTTTGCTTGACACAAATTGTCTCTAGTAAGTTTCAACTAAAAGGTCACATTCTCTTTTTATTAAGCTTATAGAAAAACTCTTATGAATTCATTACGTGATATTAGGCTTTTTTTTTTTTTTAAACACTAAAAGGAGAATCCAGGTTAGGAGGCTGATTGCGCTTAAAAATCTTTAAAGCTTCCTCTGTATCCTCCATGGTACAGAAGTGGGTATAGTGTAGCATAGTACCTTTTAAATTTCATTTGCTATGTATTTTAATGGTGGAAACGTCTGAAAGAAAGTTTTATGCAAAGACATTGCATTAAATCTTGTACGTCGTCTTTCCTTTAGGATTTAGACAAAACACAAGTTTTACCAGCACTTGAAGCATAGCAATGAAATCACCCAGGTGGAGAGTTTCAAATGTGGTAAAAGTTACTGCATTGCTGTTCGTCATGCTGACTGCTCCACTTCATCAAAAACCAATCACACTATTTATCTCCAGAAAACAGAAATAATATTTCAAAGAGCAAATAAAACAATTTACTTATAAAAGGCAAATCATGATCCAGTTGCTGAAAGGCCTCAGTTCCAGGCAGAAGCTTCAATGAGCCTTCCCTTACAGGGTCAGTGGAAAGAAACCAGAAAAGCTATAGAAGAAGTCTCTATCATGCTGTCTAATGTTCATCAGAGACGTAAGACATACGTAAAATTTGGGCTTACTGAAATAAAGTGGGGATGAAACACTACACATTGGTATTTCTTAAAACAGTTGAGATTATTTTCTCATTTTATGCTTGCCAAGGCACATGTATGGAGTTTTAAGTTTATATACAGGACTTAAGTGAGAAGTATTGCAATCTTTACAGCATTTCAAGAAACTACAATTGTTTCATCTTCTTCCAGTATTTGTCAGTGCAGTCAGACTTGAGGCAACTGCACAGTGACATACAGCTCGTCCACTGACTATGTGAAAAACAGAATTACCTCACAGGGCCTGTTTTAAGATCAAGGAATAGGATCAAAGAATATATCAAGAAAAAGGATCAAAGAATCCATCTTTTCAAAAAGAGTACTTGAACATCAAAAAAAGTTTTCCAGAAATAGATGAATTATGATAAATACATTAAAATAACCTAAGGAAAAACATTTTTGTGTACCTTAAAGTAGATTGGAGCCACATCTCCTACTTCTTTTGGAAGAGGAATGCATTCATATACCATGTGATACCGTTTCTTCATACTCATGTTTGTTTCTAGGAAAATGCAGTCCAAGTCTTTAGCTTCAAACATTTTCACCAATGCATTTCGGAACATCTATTTAAAGAAAAAAAATTTTTTGAATTAACTTTTCAAAGCTTTCAGATATAATATTTTACAGTATTTCCCTCACATATAATACTCATAATAAACTCCTAATAAAATGGGTAACAGCAACAATCATAGTAGGAAAATTCCATATTATTCAACAATTTAATATGAACTACATTTGCTATGATACAAACATAAGAAGTCTAGAAAACTATTGTGAAATATGCATTATAATTAACACTAGAAACTCAGTTTTAATAAATACTGCGTATTTTTACAGTTGAAATTAAAAATATGTTGCACTTCATACCTGTGATGCTCTATAAAACAACATAGCTTTAACACTACGTCCCAAGCTTGCAATTTCTAAGAAGGTAATTTCTTGGCTTGTCTTGACTACAGATACCATTATGCTTTCACTACTCCTTCCAATTACACAGTTTTTTAAACAAAAAAAAAAATCCCAAAACGAGCGTCAAGGCCCTGCACACACCCAACAGGCTCTACAGCCTCTTTGACCTGCCAGGGCTCCGGCTGCCCGTGCAGATGGGCAGCTCTGACATGGAGCAGCGGGAAGCTGGGATCAGGCACAGCGGAAAGAGCTGGGGAAAAAATGAGCTGTGAGAAGTGGGGCCTGGCCCCCCCTTCATTCAGAGGCTACAGTTCAGCTCAGGATCTCACTTTTGGTCCTTGCCAGAGAAAGTTTCAGGGATGCCTGTGCCCAGCCACGTGCCTGGCTGATCTTGACCCTGACTTGCTCACTTGACCTTGAACCTAATTCGTCACTGCAGACTCGTCTGGCCATCACTGGGCTGTGGCTGACCCTGTCTACCCTCATGGGACCTGCTCTCTTCTCCTGCCTTGGGTACCACAGGATTGCGTCTTGTCAGTGAGGTGACTTCCCCCACCTGCCTTGCCTGTCACCTTCCACCCTTGACTTGCCTCTCCCTGTGGCACAGCCCGCTCTCACTGCTCCCTGACTCTTGGCAGTTGGTATTTGCATCCAAGATATGCAAGAGCATCATTCTATAGCTTACAAGGTAGATGCTGAACTAAGTTACCAAGCCCAAGGGATGATTTTCTTAGCAGGGCATGTAGCGATAGGACAAGGGAGAATGGTTTTAGACTAAAAGAGGGTAGATTTAGACTAAATAGAAGGAAGAAATTTTTGACAATGAGGTTGGTGAAACACTGGCCCAGGTTTCCCAGAGAGGTGGTAGATGCCCCCTCCCTGGAAACATTCAAGGTCAGGTTGAACGGGGCTCTGAGCAACCTGGTTTAGTTGAAGATGTCCCTGCAGGGGGGTCGGACTAGATGACCTTCAAAGGTCCCTTCCAGCCCAAAGATTCTATGTTTCTGTGTTTTCCGAGACTCATTCAGACTCATTTGAAAATGCACAGAAGATATTTGTGACAGGGTGAATGTTTCCGAAAGTGTCTCAAGATCTTGAAAACTGCTTTTTTAAAACTAAGGTCTTGGTATTATACATGCTCCCTATACCGTTTCCACAGCGTAAGCCAAGAAATCACTGAAACTCTATGAGCCTCATAGACCACAGGTACCATAGCTCTATGACTCACATAAATTCATAGGTTGTCCTTTTTGCGTTGATTTTTTTTTTAATTAACAACACTTAGAAGTACAAACAACACGATTAAAAGGCTAATCCCATCTAAAGGTTTAAAATCTCTATCTTAATGTAAATGGAGAGTTGATGTATCAAACAAGCATAAGCAAATACACATATTCATAAATATCAGCAAGTACGGAAGTAAAACAGATGGGAAAAAAATCGCTATCAGGTTTTCAATGCAACAGGACTAGAAATTGAGCTCTCTTCCCCCCATCCCTTTTTCATCTTGCACAGTATGAATCAAACTAAAAGTCTAAGAAACTTGGCCAAATATATATCTTAACCAGGTATTTAAGCTCTCCAAAGCAGACCCTTGTGTCCTGAATTTTTTCTCACAAACAAGCTGCTCCATGCTGTGACAAGAAAATGCTACCACCACTCCCGTAACACAACCGATGAAACACAGCTAGAAGATATTGCCCTGCAAATAGATCGCTGTGCCATGACTGATACGGGACTTCACTGTGCAGAGTGACAGACAACTCTGAATTAATAGCTTGGTTTCTTCTCCCCCTCACCCCAGCCCCCAGACCTCTACTTCTGAAATACACCAAAGCAAGTTAACTGTGGTGAGATAAGAGAAACATTAAACCAAATGTTGGGAAGGACTATTACTTACAGTTGCTACCCTGCAATATCAACTGAAATACAAATTCACTGAAAAGCCCAGAATATCTGCAGATGTTAGCTAACATTTCCCAGACTTCAATTCCTTATTTTAAATACATTGCACTTTTCCTCCAAATTCTGAGCAGGCCAAAACATGGATAATTAGCACTGGAAAGGACAAAACCATTCATAAGAGCAAGTAAGAGGGCTTGGCTTATGCTCAGATGCTCATGACTGATACATACAACAGTTCAGGCAATACAGAACATGTAAAGATTTATATCTTTTCATATTTAAAAAATTACATGCATATTTACTTTGGCAAGTAAGCACATCAGTCTAAAACACACAATATGCTAAATTCAAGTGCCTGAAGGCATATAGAACCCTTCTTGCTTTATTCTAACATATCTTAAAAAAAAAAAATGCCAGTAAAAATACTTAGCTAAAGCATGTGCCCAATACAAGATTTTATGAATATTTAAAGTGTGATAATTTTTTTTCCTCAACAGCAATATAAAATATGGCTCTGGCATAAGAAAGTTAGTTTAGTCACTGAGTAAATGTATGTTTATACTCCTGCTAAAGCCTTCCAGACTCCTCCTACTCAATTACATAGAAGCTGGGGAGGAAAAAAAAAAAAAAAAAGTCTTTGTCCATCACCTCCCAAAGTACTTTGTTGAAAAGAAATGTTTTAACTGTCTATAAATATATTCACAGAGTCAATGGATAATGGTTTTACCAACTAGTTACATACTCTAGCAAGGAAAAGCCTAGCATTGAATACAGGAAACTGCATTTCCTTATCTTTTCTTTATCCTATTTTCTTTCTGATACAAAATTAGAAAAATTATCATCTATTTAGTTAAAAGTGGTTAGGATAAATCGAAGATAAAGAATAAACATATTTATCACTTTTCTCCATGCTCCATTGTTCTTCCTGATCCCTACTTGTTCAACTTCTTTGCTTCTTATCCAACTTTCTTAGGCATTTCTGTCACACACAAAAAAAAAATCCTTTCCCTTCCTGCTTGGAAGGAGCATAATTTCCTAGGAAACTGATTACATCTGCCATGAGAATCAATGTGGGGAGCAAATTTGGAAAGTCAGAAAATCCATATGCCAGGCTTGAGGCATAGACTCACAAAATCACAAGAATAGTTTGGGTTGGAAGGGACCTTTTAAGGTCATCTAGTCCAACCCCCCTGCAGTGAGCAGGGACATCTTCAACCACATCAGGTTGCTCAGAGCCCCGTCCAACCTGGCCTCGAATGTTTCCAGCAATGGGGCATCTACCATCTCTCTGGGCAACCTGTGACAGTGGTTCACCACCCTCGTTGTCAAAAATTTCTTCCTTAGATTTAGTCTGAATCTACCCTCTTTCAGTTTAAAACCATTACCCCTTGTCCTATCACAACAGGCACTGACAAAAAGTCTGTCCCTATCTGATCAGCTTATCAGTCCCCTTGAAGTACTGGAAGGCTGCAGGAAGGTCTCCCTGGAGCCTTCTCTTCTCCAGGCTCAGCAACGCCAACTCTCAGCCTGTTCTCATAGCAGAGGTGTTCCATCCCTCTGATCAATTTTGTGGCCTCCTCTGGACCTGCTCCAGCAGGTCCATGCCTTCCCTGTGCTGAGGGCTTCAGAGCTGGATGCAGGTCTGCAGGTGGGGTCTCCCCATAGCGGAGCAGAGGGGCAGAATCACCTCCCTCAACCTACTGGCCATGCTGCTTTGGATGCAGCCCAGGAGACGGTTGGCCCTCTGTGCTGCAAGCGCACATTGCTGGCTCATGTCCAGCTTTTCATCCACTAGGACCTCCCAAGTACTTCTCAGCAGGACTGCTCTCAGTCCCTTCATCCCCCTGCCTGTATTGATAGCAGGGGTTGCCCAGACCCCGGTGCAGGACCCTGCACTTGGCCTTGTTGAACTTCATGAGGTTCACACGGGCCCATTCCTCAAGCTTGTCCAGGTCCCTCTGGATGGCATCCCATCCCCCAGGCATGCCAATTGCACCACTCAGCTTGGTGTCATCTGCAAACTTGCTGAGGATGCACTCAATCTCACTCTCTATGTCACTGATGAAGATACTACTGAGTACTGGTCCCAATATGGACACTTGACGGTCACCACTCGTCACCAATCTCCATCTGGACATTGAGCCACTGACCACTACCTTCTGGATATGACCATCCAACCAAATCCTCATCCACCCAACAGTCCACTCATCAAATCCCTCTCTCTCCAATTTAGAGAGAAGGATGTTGTGGGGGACTGTGTCAAAGGCCTTACAGAAGGCCAGATAAAAGATATCCATAGCTCTTCCCTTGCCCACTGATGTGGTCAGTCCATCCTAGAAGGCTGGTCAGGCAGGACTTGCCCTTGGTAAAGCTCCAACCAAATCCTCATCCACCCAACAGTCCACTCATCAAATCCCTCTCTCTCCAATTTAGAGAGAAGGATGTTGTGGGGGACTGTGTCAAAGGCCTTACAGAAGGCCAGATAAAAGATATCCATAGCTCTTCCCTTGCCCACTGATGTGGTCAGTCCATCCTAGAAGGCTGGTCAGGCAGGACTTGCCCTTGGTAAAGCTATGCTGACTGTCTTGAGTCACCTCCCTGTCCTGCATGTGCCTTAGCATAGCTTCTAGGAGGATCTGCTCCATGATCTCCCCAGGCACAGAGGTGAGGCTGAGGGGTCGGTAGTTTCTAGGATCCTCCTCGCTACCCTTTTCAAAAATGGGTGCAATGTTTCCCTTTTCCAGTCTCCAGGGACTTCACCTGACTGCTACGACTCTTCAAGTATCATGGAGAGTGGCCTGGCAACTACATCACCCCATTCCCTCAGAACTCTGAGATGTGTCTCAGCAGGTCCCATAGACTTGTGCATCTTCAGGTTCCTCAGGTGGTCTTGAACCTGATCTTCTCTTACAGTGGGAGAGACTTTGCTCCTCCAGTCCCTGTCTTGCAGTCCAACCCCTCGAGAGGTGTGGGAACAGAGATGGCCAGTGAAGGCCAAGGCAACAAAGTCTTTGAATACCTCAGCCTTCCTCTTCCTCCATTGTTAGCAGTTTGCCAGTCTTGCTCATCAATGGGGGTACACTTTCTTTGACCTTCCTTTTCTGGCTGACATATCTAAAGAAGCCCTTCTTATTCTTTGCATGCCTTGCCAAGTTTAGCTCTAGCCACGCCTTGGTCTTCCTGACCTCACCCAAACAGAACCAGGCAGCATCTCTGTATTCTTCCCAGGATACCTGTCCCTGCTTCCACTGCCTGTGCATTTCCTTCTTGCCCTTTAGTTTGACCAGCAGGTCTCCACTCAGCCATGCTGGCCTGTTGCCTTCCTTTCCCGATTTCTTACATTTGGGGATCAAGAGCTCTTCCATTCTATGGAAAGCGTCCTTAAAGACCTGCCAGCTCTTTTCTGCTCCCTTGTCCCTGAGGGCAGTTTTCCAGGGGGTCCTATTGACTAACTCCCTGATCAACATTATTTAAACCATTTCGAAGTGATGAATCAACATACTTTAAATCTAAGCAACTGCAAGGAACAAAGCCTTTCTCTAGTCTGAAATAGTATCCACTACTTTGATATAAGAGGTTGCAAGTTGTTTTCTTCTTGTAATAATCTTGATGGCAGCAGCGGAGAGGGTAATCACTGTCAATCTCTTATGCAGAACCTTGTTACATACCTCCCTTGATTTTCCTTTTCCAAAGGACTCAGAACCTTCAAAATGTCTTCATACGCGACTTGGTAAGCATGACCCATCATGCTTGGCACTTTGTTCTAATAATTCTTTTCAAAAAAGTAGGCAATTGGATTCTAACAGGGACCTCACTGATTTAAAGAATGTGATCTCTCAATTGACATCCACCCAAAACCCATACTAGCTTAAAAAACCTGAAGATATGTAAACAACATATCTTCAATTTGTCCTTCATTACAAGTAATCTTTCTGCCCTGACAATCCTTTTCTTTTCCTTGGCACTCCCAAGGAAATCCTAACTGCCAAGCCAGTTATTCCACTTTCTGTAAGGGATCGGCTGTACCTACATCACCCCCAAGAGGTGTTCCTCTAACCTGGTTTCAAAGACTTCCAACAACAGACATTCTGCAGCATTCCAGGCAACATTTTCTAGTGCTTATAAACGAGAACTTTTCTTCAGTGTTTACCCTGCATCTCTCTTTTTCCATTTTTGAGCACTAATTTTCATCCATAATGCAAGGATGTTCTGCCCCTTAGTGGAAACAGAAAAGAGCTGCCAGGCTGAAAATTATGAAAATACGTACTTACGACAAGTATATTATTGTTCAAAACAACGTTATTTTAAAAAACACGAGACACTTTCTCAGCTGACCTGGACTTCTTCCCAGACGTCTTCATCCAAAAGAGTGGCTGCAGTAAGATGCTGTAGAGGGGCTATCAGGCAGTGACCTTCAGTAAGGGACTGGTTGCTTGGTAGAGACAAGTAAACCTATAAAAAGTGAACAAAAACAGAAGAACCCATTTTTCTAGTGTTAAAAACCTTCCCATTGGTAAGGCTAAGGAATACATCATTTGCTAAAATTCAAACCAATAGAAGGCATTACCTTCTAATTACCGCAAGGTATTAGTAATTCTAGTGGTTTTAAAAGGTCCCACTATCCATCAGTAGCTCAAATGAACTAGTAGCATCCAGACAGCAGCTCCACCAAGGCAGTAGCATCAGCCTTACAGACCAACCGGTATCCTAACTATTATGAAATCAGAATGTTCAGTTCATTACAATACATTTTTTATACATAGATATCTATATCTGTATGCATTTTTAATAAAATATATATACATGCATACAGATATAGGTGTATCTCCGTGTATGTATCTACTAGATATATAAACACACACATATATATACAGATTATACACACAGATATATAAACATATATATAATGCATACAGATATGTACGTTTTAATATATATATAAAATCTATCTATATAAAAAAATCAGTACAATGTACTATAATAAGTATCTATGTGTTTAATTCCTTGGCCTATATAAAGTTTCAAATCAAATTAAAAACATCAATAATAAATTAAGACTTTGGAGAAACAATGACCAAAAAAGCCTATACTGAAGTATTTCCTGTTATAAATCCAAGTATTAATGCAACTTCTAAAAGCATTAACAGAAACAAGAAGGTTCCCCATACCAAACTTCTGTCTATATTCAAAGGATTTTCAAAGCATAAAAAAAGATATTTTCAAAGGCTTAAAAATTGAATTCTCCACTTAATTTTCTTTGTTATCGAGATACAATTCTTCACCAGTTCAGATTTCCTCCAGTGGAGTGTGATTTAGTCTTCCACAAATCCACCTACAGTCTATAATCTCAGCACTCAGATCTTTTATTATTGCTCCCGTCTTCCACAAATTCACAAATCTGAAGTTCTGATTTCAGCAATTAGCTTTATAATTTATGACAGATTTAGATCTTTTTCTCCCTCACCCTTGAGGAATTTGTGAAATTAATTGGAAGGGCAAGGAAAATAAGATGCAGAACAATAAATCATTTCATAGAAGCAATTTTGTTCTTAATCTTAGGCACTCTATCATTAACACTGCCTTCCTTTATTTCTTTTTTATTTTTACATTTGTGTTAAATTGCTATTTTCTTACCTTGGTGCCAATTGCAATAATAAGATGTTTAGAAAGTTCACTGCTATCAAAGCAGTATGGGCACTTTTCCATGCGTGCAGCAAGCTGCTGGTGCTCATGTATTGCTTTTCTTCTTTGTATTTCTTCCTCTTCCCCACTGCGTGCACTTTTGGCTGCTTTGGAAACAAACATGTCATCCAGAGTGTAGTACTCTCTGTCAGTTTTTTCCATGAACTGAAAAGATACACAGAAAAATTGCATGTACATATAAATAAGCGAGAAAAAATACTTAGCTCTTTGTAGCATCCTTTACTGAGAAAAGCATAGAGTACGTGAGCAGTAGCTTTGCTTCCTTCCACATGGCATCTGCAGCACATGCAGGCATCAGGTACATCTCCCGAGAGATGTCATACACAATCTTAGACAGCACAGATATTAAAATATAGATGGGTGACAGCAGTGATGAGTATATTACTATATTCCATCTCAAGTTAAAGGCTAGGTATTTCAATATTATCTTGACAAAACTTCAGCTTTAAACAGATGCACAATTTTTTAAATCATATATTATCATGTAATTTATTTCAGTCTTCCTCCTCCTCTCGTCTTACAACTATCACTATCCATTAAATCAACTCTTGTGAAATAACTAAACCATGACTCTGCAACTCATATTTATACTCTGTGAAAACATGCCCACAGTCATTCTTACCAAGTCAACACTACTAAGCCATTTTGTGAAGAAAACAGTCTTTGTCTTCAATATTTAGTCTTTCTTCAGTGCAACTGTTGCTAGATATGGATAATGAACACAACTAGCACATTACCAGAAACAAGGCTGAATGATCCACAGGTTTTCTGTTTGTTCATTAATTGCTACATTTTAGTTAAATGTGCCACATTTAGAAGAAACTCTGAAAACACTCAATTTGTTATGAAGACATGCTTGATGGTCAGTGGTATTTTACAGGATCTTAATAGTGGAAACCCACACAAACTGGCTACGTCTCACCTAGATGATACTTGGGAGGGATGGAGTCTGTAGACAGGAACTGGAGGAACTGAAGGTGTTGCAAGGTGACAGAGGACATGGTGAGAAAGTGGGCTTACAGCAATAGGAGCAAAAGAATGAATGGAAAGGAAAGCAAGAGAAGTATGGGGGTCATGGAACTCAAAGCCAAATGACAGTAGATTCCACTAAATTTCATAACTCATGGAACACTTTTTTGTATTTATATATCATTAGGCTTTATCAATCTTTTTTTATTTTGATGACAAACAAATCCCATGACATCTTGCCTACATCAAGACTTAGTAAGTCTTAATTGTAAAGGCTAACTTTTTAAAGGACTTAGGAAAGTATTTCTCCATTTTCTGCTTTGGCTACTCTAAACAACTTTAAAATTATGCGCCATTAATACCCTAAACTTTCAACACATATAGCTAAAGCAAATGTAAAAAGCATTCAAAAGAATTTTTTTCAGATTTTTCTCTTTAAATGAAATCCCACTGCTGCAATACTTTTGTGCTATACTTGACTGTAATTTTACCTTGAACAGTTTCAGTAATCTCCTTATCAAAATGACAGGGATTAAAAAAAAAAAAGTACACTACACAGATTTCTTGTTATTGGAGGTGCTGGTCCTTCAGAGTCTTGACAGATTTATGTATGAGTAGTTTTGCTCCAACAATTGCTAAGGAAATGGTAGAATTGTCTTCACAACAAGTCCTCATGTGTTTTAGAATACTGACTGGGGTAGCCCTAGCAAAGGAGTAATGTTAGGTAAAGGTATTTTCAAGGCATACTGTCATAACTGAAATACAGTCTCAAAGTAAAAGAAATTTTTCCAAATATCCGAGGCATAGTTTGCGTAGATTATCTGATAGGAAAAGAAATTAAGTCTTTATTCTGTAGTGTAGATAACTAACTTGCCCCTCCAAAACACAGACAACAGCTCTTGCTTTTCCTGAACACTGCTATTCTCTTAACAGAGACCAATAGCTTTTTTTGTATATACTCAGTACTTTCATTACCAAACAACTGAGGAGCAGCCTCCTTAATATGACTTTATTTAGCTACAATACATTTAACTGCTTATGTGCATTTCTTACTGGAAACCACTGCAGACTAAAATCAACAGTTCAACAGTTCAATTCTGTTCTCATTCTCTTTTACTACAATGCTGTAATCTATATTTAAAATAAAGAGGAGATTCCTGAGCTGTAGAAAAAAATATTTAGTGGTTTGGGTGTCAAAAATCGAGTCTCTGTTCCTCTGTCATATAAGCATAAGGAAAGTAAAACTGTAGATTCAGTAGAAGAAACACCAATAAGCACTACCTACAGAATGGCACCATTTTGTTATTACGAAAAGTAAAGGTTTACCTTTTTTTACCTTTTTTTTTTTAATTAAAAAAATCTGCCATGAGAATGCAAATACACATGAAACAAGAGCTGTCTGACTGGCTGGCAGTAGATGACAGACTACAGAGAAAATGAAGAATGGAAATCAAAACAGCATGGATATCAAGAATATCACATGCAGCACAGAATACTATTACTATTTTGCTTTGCTTGCACTTAGTCGTAGTCATGGAAATTCCTGGTTTGTTATGCATGACCTTTTTTAAGAAGTAGTACTTTCCAAAACACCTTAAAAATATTCTACAGATCCTCTTACGCAAGTCCCTTATGTCACAAGAACACAAGTCAAGAATTCCGTCTAGTGATGAAATAAATATTAATCTTATTAAATGGGCTGGATGATGTCTTTCTTCAACAGTGGATAAAGTGCTATATACACTAAGACACCTTGGACCCAAAAGAGAATGCTCACCTAAAAAGCAGTAATGTTTAAAAAAGTAAGTGCTATCCAAAGACCAGATTTGGTTTCTCCTGGTACAGTCATGACTAATAGAAGATCACTACATTTCAAATGGTAATTCAGTAAGACCAAAAAGAAATGATGTTACTGTTCTTCAGGAATTGTACTTTTCTGCATCATGTTTAACACAGTCTGAAAAAATATTCATAATTCAACGACTCAAACCTAAGAGCAGGTCTGAAGCAATATAAAGTCCAATACATGACCTTGAGTGGAGTCAATGAAAACAAGCGCAATTCAGGAGACTTAAAAGAACAAGCTACAAATTCAACAAAAAGAAGAAAAAGGAAAAACCCAAACCAACTAACCAGCCATTGGCAAAAGTTGGAGTCACCCAAAAGAATGGTGAAAAAGATTCCCCAGTTGCACCACAGAGTTCTCCTAGTGCTCCCTGGAAATTCAATGGTAGTGTTTCAGAATTCAAAATTGAAAGTCCTCAAACTGAAGGGAAACAGTGGAAAAAATTAAATAATACCTTCACTTCTAATATTACTAAACAGGCTATGTACATAAGTGGACTCATGTGCATACATCACTCGTTCATTGTAAACTCCTAGTGCAGCCTGGATCCCACCCAAGGCCTCTGCGTCAGGCTAGAACAAGTCAGTGGAGAGTCTTACAACAAAACTTTGTATTTTTCCTGGAAGTAAAAAGATGTGTAGGAGAGTTCTTCATACAGCTATAGGCCACAGAAGCCAGACAACATTGCACTTCAGGTTTAAGATGTAATATATGTTGGTCAGCAGAATTAGATGAAGCGTATTGGGGAAGGAAGTAAAATAAACATGACATTACTTTGGAGAAGTAAAGGAACAAGAAAAGGTAGGTAGCAAAGCAGCATTTTGGGGAGAGAAGCCATAGTAAGAGGATAATTAGAGAAGGAGTATCCACAGCTCACGTTCAAATTACCTCTACCACAGGGTCTCTACCAGCAACAAAATCATAGATCCCATTGCAATACTAACGAATAACAGAAGATAACAAGGAATGCATGGCAGTTCAAGAAACCAACATCCCAGCTTCAAAGACATTAAATAAGTGCTTGGAGTAAGCAGGGTCTGAGGAAAAAAAAGTTATTTTAAACATTTCAACCTGCCTGTGCAATAAAAAAAGCCTAGTCATTAATAATTTATGTCCAACCGGATGCTCTTTGAGCACTATACCCTTCCCTTGTTGAAGGAAACAGACAACAAAGTGGAAAAATGGGTGGTTACTTTCTTCCCCTTTTTCACACCTTTAGGAAGAAGTTTACAAGACCTTTATTCAAGTTGTAAGCCTAGTGCATCAACACACAATGCCATTATATTGCAGTCCTGAGACAAAGAGACCAAGTTACAGATGGTCACCCTGTCCCTGAATCTTCATTTCTTGCCATGTTTTATCACATCCTTTAGATGACTTTAAAAGAGTGTTGAAACGGGATAAATTTTCATCTCTAAACAGTCATGAAAGGAATAAGAATTTTTTTGCAACTCCCCTATTCCCACAGTGTCATTCCAACATACCTCAAAACAGGCAAAAATACCACCCAGCAAGAATTGTGTGTTCTTACTGAATAAGATATAATATGAATATAAGTGGAAAAATCCATTCAGCAATGTTTTCTGCCTTAAAAACAAACAAAAAACCATTAAAGACATTTAGTCTGCAATATTGGAATAGTAGCAATAAACATCACTAACACATTCTTTGCCAACAGCAGTGGAAAAAAAAATGGTGGTTTCTTTTTTTGAGAGCATAATTCCTTAAATATGATTATCCCTCGAATCCTACAAATGCCAAACATCAGTGAGTCAGAACTGAAATAAAACAAAACGTAGCTGCTACCATGGCAGACTAGAGAGTACTCTTCAACCGCTACTCTAAATATTGGCCTTTTTGAAAAGTTATTTGGGAAGAAAATGGAAACTCTCTCTCAAAAAATTTATACTCTTACTTTTACAATAAGGTGCCCAGCGTGTTCTGCCAATTGCATTATTGGCTATAACAAAATCTCTCCAAACAAGTTAAAGGGGAATTGAAAGAACAAGAAGAAAGTGTTCTCCAAAATGCCAGAAGGAAAGCAAGTAATCATTTAAAAACTGATTTCTTTCATACATATTTTCTTCCATACAAAAGACAGAGCTAGTACAATCCAAAGAATGAACTGTGCTGATGTATGAGATTCACTGGAAGGCTGCTCTTCCGCATCAGCTGAAGCATCATACTGTTAAACGTGAAAGTGAACTCATTCTGAAGTTGTGTATTTAGCTCCCTCGCTGTGCTGGATGCTGCACCGGCTGTATTTCAGGTGCTGCACAGAGACTGGAAAGCAGCAGGTAGTCACTTGCATATATCAGTTTTAAGTTGG